CATGAGCTTGGCTGGAATTCCAATAAAAATACATAAGATGAGCATGAAAGTAATTAAACTAAGGGGCTGGTATGCAATAAATGCACCGACGGTAGACGTCGCTGCAGCAGAAAAGTCCGCCGTAGACGATGTTTGTACGAAACACTGAACTAAGCCGTCCCCTTTTCTGGAGGTGACGGGTCCTATTCAGGTAAAATAGATTTGCCACAACATTGCTTAAATAGTTTTATCATTAGCAATATGGAAACGGAAAGTACTTTGAAGATCTCTTGTAAATAGGTTAGTGTTTTGTGCCGCGTAGGTCTAAGCCGGAGTTGCCGAAACAAAGTCAAACTGCTTCCAAAGGTAGTGATAATTTTAAAAAATGTTGCTAGCCATGCGATCTTTATTTAGGATGAATTGAAACATCCGTGTAGGGCTCAAAATTATAACATTTGCTCATAGTGGCATATCCGACCTGAGTTTCTCTAACGCTGCCAGGCCGCACAGCGAAGTGTCGCGTACAGTTGAGATACCCACGGGTGCGTCAAATTGTCTACATCTGGCGCAGGATTATTTGCCATTGCGATGTGTCAACTTAGTTGCTTGAATGTGCTAGGCCAGATATTGAGTTGATTTGATACTCGATTTGCTTTGTCAAATATGGCAACTATAGAGGGCCATTTTATACAGTTTTGGACGCGTGGATGTTCTTTGAATTCCACATACTTCGCATTTAGTATGAGGGATTACTTTAATTCCTGGACAAATTACGGAAGTTATTATAACATTTAGCACCGAAACATTTCTGCTGGTAGCTATAGAGCTTAACTATGGAAGGAAGGAGATAATGATGAATTCATTTCTTCATCAATAATCACTGACCACTTGCAAATCCGAGTCTTTAGATCAAACAAAAAGAAAATGTTTCGTTCAGTTCTGGTAAAGAGGTAAGATAATGACGTTTTCAATTGCCTATCTAAGTGTCTTATAGGCTACACTTTCGTCACCTTTGGCAAGTTCCTTCCTCCTGAATTCTTAGACGTCAAGTTAACATCTGATTTGTATTTGAATTACTCCAGCAATTCGACTGTCCTTTAAAAAACATTGCTACATATTTGCAGCTCATATTGTTTAATGCTGGGAATAAAATTTATTCGGATCCAAGCATGTAAAAGGTGTATACCTTACGCTGAAACCATAAAGACGCGGTTGGCGTAGCCTCAAGAAAACTAGCGTTTACTTAATTCTAACTGGGGATATTTTACATAAAATAAAAGCACTTAAATTTTACC